GTGTGTGTGTGTGTTTACATATATACACACACTCAATGGGTCATTCAACATATGTTTGTTTTAGGGGTCCCTTAACCCTCTTAAAAACCAATAACAAAGCAATTGTAGTCCGCGCAGGATGCCCGGATCTCCCAGCTGCGGCAGCTTGTCGCCACGGCGGAGGTTCGGGCTGGAGGTTACCGCGTTTTTGGACCGTTCTAATGAGTTTAAGCTGTATTTTGTAGGGGCCCAAAGAAGACCCCGGGTTCTTCGCCAAACATTTGGCGTTTCTTGTTGGTTTCTGTGGTTTGGTTGTTTCAGCTTGTTGGCCCAGCGTTGGCTTTGAAATTCTTCGTGTTCTTGGGTGCTGTGTTGAGGGGCGAAGCATACACCTGGACTGGAGATACATTCTTTGCCGTTCCGTTGTCCATTGATTGGAATCAAGTGTTGCCAGGTGGCTGGTTGCCTTCACTGGAATCTCGAGCATGTGCTGAAGGGTGTCACAGCAAACCGGAATAAACGTGTAGCAAGAACAAGTCGGTGTTTCGAGTTTAGGTTTTAGGGTTNNAAGCCCGACACCCTAAACCCTAAAACCTAAACCCTAAACCCTAAACCCCAAACCCTACACCCTTAACCCTAAAGCTTGCCGTCACAGGATGAGATAGTGGAGATGCGGCTGCGGTTGCAAGCCTGTGCAGAGTACAGCCGAGCTTCCATGCACACTCTGACGAGGTGCATCCCACCCTTCCAGCTTCGGATTGTGCAGATGCTGTAAGGTTCCCAGAGACTCCAATATCCCTTAATTAAGGAATATACCTTAAATGATAATAGGATCCCTAATGCGATTTAAGCTATATTCCTTAATTAAGGGATATTGGAGTCCCTGGGTTTGCAGGGTTTAGGATTGTTGTTGACAAGAGGGCTACATACAGGAAATAACAAGTTTTCCTCATCCTCCGACTTCTTGCAGCCTCGTGTAAACCTCACAGCATAGGCTGCAAGTGAGTAGCAGTAGAGAACCAGGATATAGTTATCAGAGAGCAAAAGCAGCCGCAGTTCCGAATATGTCAGTCCATCCCACCACAGAGACTCTCGCAGTAGCCATTGCCACCGCCACAATGATCTGTGGGATGCTGCAGCACATGAAGCAATGTGGTCAATGGTTCAATGTCAAGGAGTCAATGTTTCCTTCAACCGTAAACAAGAGACGTTCTCCAAGACACAGGACTGTCATAGCAGCAGTCAGTTCCAAACCCAAATCGCAGCAAGAGCCGCGGCAGGATGACTGCAATAACTGCAATGTCCGTGGGTAGATTGATGTTGAACTCGCATTTCGTCATGAGCAGCTCTCTTGACCAGTCGTCTGATTTGTATTTACCTTACCTAGATCCCTATAGTATAGCAGTATAACACCTTTTTTTTGGTAGCTTAGTTTGTTGTTCTGGGATCCTAGTCATAGAATGGGTTTATCAAGTTATGGCTGAGTAGCAGCAAGCAGTGGGTTGGCTTGCAAATTTCTCAAGCTGCATCGTAGTCAACCTCGATCGCATTTTGGTTCGAACGATGCCAGGTGAGTGATCCCCACCGCATCCCTAAAACCCGGAGTCCTAACAACACGAAACCCTGAAACCCCACAGTATCGTCAGAAGCAGCTTCGCTCCTACTCTCCGGAGCTATCTCCAGCGATGCACGGCCAGCTAGGATGTCATGTCAGCGACATGTTGAAGGCAACAGTGTAGCCGATTGCCCTGCACATGCTGAAAAATAGCAAGCAAACCTCAAGCCCTGCAATCCACAATGTGTGCTCTAACACTATAAACCCTAAACCTTTGAAGATTTGACCCTTAGGGTTTCGGGTTCAGGGTCACCCTGCAGAACATCCTGGAGACATCCGTCCTGACAGCTGTGAACTCTCCGCAGCCTCGAAAGCCAATCACAGAAGACAGGCCCACAGAGAGCCCTAAGGAATACTAGAGGGGCCTCAATAACTACCAACACTGTGTTGCAGAGATCCTTAGTATAATAATAGTCTAACATACCTCAAGACCCTATTCTAATCATTAAGGCCCCGACATTACTCTCACTCTTGCGACAAGATCCCCAAACCTGTGGCCTTGAATATGCTGTTTTCAGCCCGCAGTAACCATGGCATGGTTTTAAGGGTTACGGTTATGGGGTCTGGATGTAGGGTCTAAGCCCCAACCCTAAACCCTTAAGCCATTCAGCCCTACACCTCCAAACCCCGGGGAGTGGTGAAGATGTTTGTTGCATCATGGCTTTCTGGGATTCCCCTGGAATCGCCGCACACATCGCGCTATGCTGTCCAGCCCCAGCAGTTTCTTGGCCTGCTGGAATTAATTTGGGGTCCTTACTTGTGATAAACGGAATAGGGTTTTGGGGCCCATCATACTGTAAGTATGATAAGGAACCCCCAAAATAGTTTGTTTAGGCCCCTATATTACGTAGTTCAATGCCTATACTGGGTTTATATACCTGGTAGTTGACCGAGGGCATGTTTTCGGGACTTAGAGCTTAATCAGCATTTTTGGGTCGTTAGGGTTTTGCAGTGAGCATGGAAGATTAAGCCCTTTCAGTTGAAGAATTGCATTTCAAAGTTTGAGTTTCACCGCGTTAGTCATTCATCAAGTTAGACTGCACTAGTCCCGAAGTTTGAGGGTGCTGAAGACCACTCAGCACAACTATGCTCGCACTGATGCTTAAAGTGTTCTTTGATCGTGCAACGAGCAGCCGCAAATCCTAAACCACCGTGACCGCTTAAACCCTAAACCCTCGTTGGAGCATCACGGGACTCAGTAAGTTTGCTTATAAGTTTTCAGTACCTGAAAAGGAGTGAGGAGTAGTTATAGGTATAGTTACCTTATGTATAACCCTAGTTACGTCCCATGATCCTCTGGGTAGGCCAAACGTTACTATGCATGTTCAGGAAGGCCTGCGCTATAAGCCCTAACCGTTCTTATCCCTGAAGTAGATTCTGGCTGCCCATCATCCTAAAACCCTCAACCCCAAAACCTAAACATTCCTAAACCCCAAGCCTGAAACAGCTCTCTCTCAAAGCTAACCCCCCAGCACAAAATCCAATGCCACACGTCCCAAACCCAAGATCCTAGGCCTCAAGCAAGAAACTCTCAAACCCTATTGTAGAAGCCTAAATAATTACCAACATTATTCCCTAGGGTTCCTCATTATAACTATACTATAAAGGAGCCCAAAACCCTATTCTAATTATTATTTAGGCCCCCATAGATAACTCCCTCAACCCTAAACCCTAAACCCTAAACCCCAAAACCCCAAAACCCCTAAACCCCTAAACCTCTAAACCCTAAACCCTAAACCCCTAAACCCCTAAACCCCCAAACCCTCAAACCCAAAGGGATGACTCAAAAGGACCCTCAAGGGCACCCTACAAGTCCCAAGCCTTCTCAGGCGCCGACCGCGTCCGGCTCCCAAGCCTCAGCCTGCACCGATGGCACTGCCGAACGAGGTTAGACCTTTGGGTTTAGGGTTTAGGGTTTAGGGTTTAGGGTTTAGGGTTTGGGTTTAGGTTTTAGGATTTCGGGTTCAGGGTTTAGGATTTACGGCTTAGAATTGTGGGTTTGGGGTTTGGGGTTTAGGGTTTAGGATTTAGGATGTAGGGTTTAGGATTTGGGGTTCCGAACGAGTTCAGAGTTCAGGCGACTAGTCTAATGTAGAAGCCAGAACAATGGCTAAAAGTATTCGTTAGCATTCCTCATTTTCATGACAGTATAGTAAGAAGAGGTATCGAGGCCTCTATATTACCGCATTACCGCAGTGCTTCCCTACTCTCAGTGCCCCTCTTCCGCTCTCTCAATTTCCGCATCCCCGTCACTCTCTCTCCTCCTCTCTCTCTCTCTCTCTCTCTCTCTCTCTCTCCTCTCTCTCCCTCTCTCTCTCGACATATAATATATATATATACACATATTATATACCTCTTCTTGTGCAATGCATGTGCGTACTCAAACAGACAACAACGTAGGGTGCCTAGTAACATCATAGCGTACATGTTGAGCGTTTAGATCTTGGGCTTAGAGTCGGGGTTGGTTCAAGGGTTTGAGACGTATCCCCACAGTTAGTTGTCACGGCTGCATCGGTGGAAGTCGCCCTTATCCAAGCGACCACCATCCTAACACTACATCAAAGCCATGCTCAAGATCCTTGCCTGCATCCGCTCCAGAAACCAAACATGCCGTTACCTATCCTCATCCAACAATTCCTCTAGCACGCCACGTTTTCAGATTTACCCGGTAGGGGGGTGGGTGCGTCCACTCCTTCTGCAAGTCTGCCTTGTGCTTTGCATGTTGTTGCTACGTGGCTTTGGCCCGCAACATGTGCACAACCTTCGCCCAACCCAAGTCCGGTATGCATGCAGGCAGCCAGAGAGGTAAACCCCAAGCCCCAAACCCTAAACCCCATCATATATGTGCGTATATGTCAGGCCTCGGTTTGGGCCCGCCGCGCCGCCGCGGCAGCCGCAGCGGCACAGGTCGCGCAGCGCTCACCGACGGCGAGGAGGGTCCTGATCCTTAGACCCTAGTATACCTTCCCCTAATCAACCTACGTACCTCTTTGAGGACTTATACATAAGGGAAGCATAAACCCTATAAAGTATAAACCCTAAAGCCGTCACCTTAAACCCAAAACCCTGATCCTTAAACCCTCAGCTGCAAACCCAGCACGGTTGTGCTTTCTTCAAGACTTCAAGGGTTAGATAAGGCTCGAAGGATTTTATTGGGGTTTGAGGGTTTTGGATTGAGAGTTTAGGGGTTTAGGGTGTGGCTTAGCACTGAGGGTTTGAGGAAACGATTTAAGCCCCTTTTTGAGCCCAACAGGTATGCTGTAGAGGTGCGTGGATATCGGGTCATGACTTCGCAAGTACTAGCAGTAAGTAGGTTGTTACAGGTGGAGGTTGGAGTACCCTAATTTGATTGGGGCCATTTGCTTTGTTAGAAGTACCATGCTCCTCCGATCCTGTTCCAATTTAATATAGAAGCCTAAATAATTACCTATAGTATTTTGGGGGTTCCTCATTATTGTTATAGTATAATATACTCCCAAAATTAAAACCCTATTCTAACTATTAAGGCCCCTATATTAGTCCTCTAAGAGCCTATGAGAGCTTATGATTCCTCTCAAGAAACCAGGAAACGAAACCAAAAAAAACATACATCTAAAACCCTATAAACCCTATAAGCCATATAAACCCTATAAACCCTATTATAAACCCTACAAGCCCTATAAGCCATATAAACCCTATTATAAACCCTATAAGCCCTATAAGCCCTATTATAAACCCTATAAGGCCTATAAACCCTCGAGATGCAGGACGGACAGGAAGTCGGAGGCTGGCTCAGAACCCCGCATGCGGCGCGTGCGGAGCTGGTGGCAGGTGCCAGGGGCGGGCGTTTGCCGGGGCTAGTTTGAGGAACCCTTAGAGGCACTTTTGTCTTCTCAGCTCAGAATTTTCAGGCTGGCGAGCGCCTGGCGGTGGCCAAAACTGCCGAGGGCCTGGAGGAGGCCGTGGAAAGCAGGGTTTAAAAAGGTTTTTGGGTGGTTTGCAGTTTTAGGGTTTAGGTCCATGGACCCATAGTGGATACGACCCTGAAGTACTTCAGTAAGGGATTTTTCGCTATAAGGTCAACGTAGGTACAGTACATGGACTAAAGGTTTCGATTCCACAATAAGTTTTCGTGTGTTGGGGACGACAAAGCAAGGATCCTAGTATGTTGAGTTCAATATAAAGGTCGTTTAGCTTGTGAAACTCACACTCCCATTTCTGTTGGTTGCCTGGTACTTGCAGTTGGGGACGTGCAGTAGCAACCCTCGGGATGATTGTGGCGGCGATTGACGGATAGGACACCATGTCCACACCAGCCGCCCTATCGAGCGTTCCAGGTTTGTAGTTCGAACGCTAGGAATGCGGACTGAACCCAAATCGGCATGAGGGCCTCACAGATGTTGTCGAGTATCTTACCAGGGTCATCGCTGAACTCGGGCATCAGTGATTCTGTCACTGGTAGCATTCATCCCATGTACCTCCCCCTCCACAGAAGTATAGTGGCATGGGCATCTGAAGCCCCAAAGACCCCTGCCTCTGTAGCCGCTCGATTATGCTATCCGATATCCTTTGAAGGTACTTCCGAAGCCGTAGACATGAGAGCCCCCTCTCAGCAACGACACAGCCAAGTTCATCATCTCTCGGCTCGAAGTCCAAGGCCTGAAGAGAGCCCCAAGCTTGGTCTATGTCGTGTACTTGGAGGATCATGGGACTTAGTAAGTAGGGTTATAACTAAGGTAACTATACTTATAACCCCAATTAGGGGACTTGTAACCTTACTTACTAAGTCCCCTGATCCTCCAGGTACCCGAGCATCCCGAAGCCTATCCACGAAAATCTCGAACGGATCCCTGAACCCTGGACCTGACACTCTCTAATCCCGAAGAACCACTAAACCTGCAACCTCCACCCTGAGTCTGCTCAAACACGGGGAGTTTTCAATTTTCGTCGCAACTATATATATATATATATATCTGTATATATGTATATAATTATATATATATATACATATATATATATATATGTATATATGTATATATATATATATGTGTGTGTGTATCCTAAACCCCAAACCCCACGATCTCAACCTCGCAGATCCTTGAGCGGCAGCTGCGCGGTGCTTTTGGCCAATCGCCAGCCCCGCTCGGAAGCTCCTGGGCTAATTTGCCCAAAGCAGGGTTTAGGGTTTAGGGTTTAGGGTTTAGGGTTTAGGGTGAAGAAGTAGTAGCTAGTTAGGGTTTAGGCTTAGAGTGTAGTTTACAAGATCCTGGGGTTTGGCAGGGAGTTCACTGCTACACAAGACAGCCGTGGACATAAACGAAAACCAAAGATCATTTCGCAGTTCACATCGCTTGCCTCCTTCATGTAGTATGGCGGGGCCTGGGTGTAATCCAATGCCCATAATAGATAGGCCAAGCATTTGTTGGATCACGTCTCGTGCGCAGGATACACGGTGCACAGCTTAACCGAACCTGCCCAAATTGGGCAAGTGCGTCTCTCTCGCCGTCTCTTTCTTTAGCGCCCTCTTGTTTTAGTCAGGTTCTACAGCATGGGGCTTTAGGCTTAGGCCCCGTGACTGAGACATTCATAGTCTCCAGTGTGGGAGGCGGGCTTCGGAGGCTGTTGCCTTAAATCGTCAGCAACTGCAATTGATATTCCCACAACCTAAGCATCACAGGCTCAAGCATAGTCCCTGTTGGAGTTCGATCCAGGTGATCTGCTGCAAGATGCTATGGGCTTATGGGGGCATGCAGGGCCTACAGTAAAAGGACTGTAAGCTTGAGTCCCTGAGTCGTAGAATTCTGCGAGGCTTCTCTTGGACGGTTGTGACAGTATCTCCCTAAAAAGGGGAGGGTATGCAAAAATAGACGAAAGGCAAGTCGCCTGGCAGGGTTCTTCAACCTGTAGCCTCAAATGCGAGTACCTGACACCGCTTGCCATGCTTGTCATTCTTTCTAAACCTCCCAGTGGTTGCTCCACAATTTAGGTCAGAAGAGGCTTGCTGATGGTGTTGGCAATTGTGCGTCAGGTCTGCAGGTTCTTGGTTAAGGCACCATGCTATACCCTAAACCCTCAACCCTAAACCCTAAATCCTAAACCCTATACCCTATACCCTAAACCCTTAACCCTAAACCCTATACCCTATTCCCTAAACCCTAAACCCTGAACCCTAAACCCTGAGCCAGCCAGGTCTCTACTGCTTCCAGTGGATGCCGCGAAGTCGCCTGCCTTCAGCTGCATATTGTCTACTGTAGCTGTTTAGTGTTTATAGGGTTTGGGGTTACTAGCACAAGAACTACTACGACGACGACCGCTGCTACTACTGATGCGACTGATACTACGAAGTCGTGCGGGCGTATTCGACTTGTGATTTTCTTTCATTGTAAATCCCCGCTTGAGGCACCCCTGGCAAGTCTCGCGGGCTGTCTTCAGCCTCTCGGCTTGAGTTCCGCCAGGACAAGGGTTTCTGTTTGGTTCAGGCGACGGGTTTAGGATGCAGAGTTCGGGAATCTAGGGGCTTTCGGGTTTACAGGAGGCTGTAGGGCTTTGGCTTCAGGGTTTAATGGTTCAGGACTCTATGGCTTAGGCTGTGCGATTTCGGGATGTTTCGGCTTTGGGGGGCTTCATGCTATTTTAGCGTCTAGGTTTAAGCTTACGATGCAAAGCATGGAATCATGAATGGACAGAGGTTTGAGCTGAGGGAGTGTAGCTTCGGCGGTCTCCATACTGTCATAGTATATTGGCCAAAACAATTAATGAGAGTATCCACGTGTAGTATCCCCGTGTCAGATCGTTCCTATGTTTGTAGTACATATGATATCTACGGAAGCCCTAGTCTAACATTCAATGTGGCCCTATATTTGGATTCAAGGCCTGATTGTGCGCTTAGTATCTTCGATGGTAAGCTTGCCCGATGCACTCCTAAGCCTAAATCTTAGGGCTTAGGGTTCAGGGATCCGCGTACTCCGCTCCAAAACCTAAACCTCAGTGCTGCGATACGGAACTGCAATCTGCTGGGGGTCTGACAAATGAGAAATTGCATTCCCTGAAAGTCCATACATATCTTTGGTATAAGATACCCCCAAACCATACTGTGACTTTGTGGAGTTGAGGTTCAGGGGCAGCGGGCCCAAACCACGAGGTTAAGTAAGGTTTGAACGGATTCGTAGTTGTGGTCTTAGGGAACCCTCGACTTTGTACTTTCGGTCGGTGGAACACTCAAAGGCAAGTTCCTCAATGTCGAATGGCCGTCCGTCCCTAACCTGAGACCAAATGTGAGGAAGATTTAGGTGTGGGTTTTGCGTGTAGAACTATCTCCCTACAGATGTCGGTGAGTGAATACTTCGGGTGTTGTTATGGGGATGCTGGTATCAAGAATCGTCCATCTATCATATGATGGGTATGAAAATTAGTAGTATCCCCAAAGCCCGAACCCTAAACCCCCAAACCCTAAACCCTATCCCCTAAAGTTGCGGGATCCTCGTAGAGCCGGTGGGATTATCAGGGCAGGACTCGGCAGCTTCAGAGAACCAAAGCAGTAAATACCAACTAAGCCACGGTTTAGGGTTTAGTGTTTAGGGTTTAGGGTTTAGGGTGCCTGCTTATAATGCTCAACTACAACTGTGCATATATTGACACACGGGCATCTTATGTATATCCATGTACACAATACTGCTGATGTAGTTCTATCGTATCTAGCTGTGATATCAGTAGAGCGATTCAAGGCAGTTGTCCTGCTACTCACGTGTTGTGACACATGATGGCAGCCCAGGCCACACACGTGCGGACCTTATGCACCGATTCTTGTTCTTCAGACTGTCCAGCTTGAAAATGCTAGGATGTACCCGGCGGAGAGCTCACATACGGCATGTAGTAGACTTTGTAGACTTCAAGAATCGGGCGACTTGAGACAATCATAGGAACACATCTAAGATGATCGCTTCCAGGGTACCTATATCTGTGCTCACGAGCTACTTCTGAGTCCCCTAGCCTCCATGCAATGCTTCTCCATTAAACTCAGGGACAGTCCGGAAAGTATTTGGTGGCTTGATGTTCTGATCTAAGAAACACTCTTGAATTAAGGTGCATCGGGCTGTTTGACTAGGTCCCGGAAGCTGCTGCTGTTGAGGTAGTTGTTTCATGCAGCAAGACCCACTACGGTGTGTTGGTTGTAGCCTGCGTGCTAGTGAACATCTGGGATGGCAGTGCTGTCCATCTACCGCATGTCAACTGCTGTATGGCTCGGCTACTTGGATTTGTGTGATGGTCGCTGGTGTTAATGGTGCTTCGTAGTTCTCTTGAACCCTAAACCCTAAACCCTAAACCCAAACCCCATTAAGAAACACCTTGGACCAATGCTCTTCAGCTTCACAGAAAGAGCGGCAACGGCAAAGAATTACCAATGGGTTCCGGCAGCAGCCGGGTGCAGGTCTACGGGTGTAGGGTTGGCAGACCGGTAGTTGGTTCGGCATGATCCTCATGTCACAATCAGGTCGCCTACCTGTTCGAGCTCATCATGGACAACGAGTTGCGGGATTTGGAGCAGATGATAGATACGACGTACCTGGTCATGACATATGTCTCGGTCTTTCTTTTGACGCCCGCTTGGTGTATGCGGGGGTTGAATTGGGGTTGAGGTTTCCAGGCTTGTCGTCGAAGGCCTAGTGTGTTAACTTTAGGTTGTGAGGTTCGGGGTTTGCGTTTAAGCTTGCGGTCTGAAGGTACACGGCACGGGGATAAGGGCTTAAGCATTGGGGTTTGTGGTTTGCGGTTTGGGTTTCCATTAGCGTTGAAGGGCTTGCATTGGGGAAATCGGGTTCAATTTTCAAGCTTGAGGGTTCAAGGCTGAAGACTTAGCAAGTCCCAGTCCAATCCGGGCACATGTGTTTTGTTTGTAACCTCGTGCCACCTGCAGTTTTGAGACTTCCGCAGACCTGGGCAAGACCAGGCGGCAAGGCGTGCAGATGTCTTGAGGCATCCCTGAAAAAGTCGCTGCTCAACCCAAACGGTTTGCAATCTCGGCTCCACCGTTCGCAGAGCTTGGGGGGCTTTCTGCTTCAATCCGAGCCCGCACAGCCATTACCTTCCGCTCGTGCTGTACATGGACCTGCTTGACTTTCTGTGAGAGTAAGCAGGTCCTCTGCAGTCCTTATGTAACCACACCAGAAATTACCCAAAATCCTTCTGTGAAATTATGCAGGCGTTGTCATTTTACGCTGAATCTCTGCATGCCCCTTCCCATGACCCCTAAATCAGTACGGCAGTCTCTAGTCAACTCTTAATACAAAGCTCCGATAAAATAGACCGCAAACTCCTGATAGGAGCTATTACAAAGCCATGTGACGACCCTGGCAAAGTTTCAATATCAAGTTCTGCTCTTTTTTACAAAATGTAGAGGCTTGCAATCAGAACCGTCAAAGCTGAGCGAAGGCAGAGCAGCAGGGATTTCGCCCAGTTTTTCAAGGTCCGCATCTGTCTGGGTTCAATGGCTGATGGCCTCTAGGGTGTGGTTCGGGTGTTCGTGAGAATGCATTATAATACAGGGGCTTAAATAATAATAATAATAATAGTAATAACAATAATAACCTTTTTATTCTAACGAGTAAGGCCCCTACATAACCGGAAGGGCTGGATTGAAGGTTTGTGCTTCTGGGATAAAGGAGTACTTGGTGTATTCGTGTACAAACTGTGGCCCAGGCAACCGGTGAGGTTCACTTTGTAGGGTTTGGGGATGTGGGGATATAGTGTGTAGGATCAGAGATGCTTTTTGCCTGCAGCAGGAAATTCCTTCCAGGGTTGTCTTTCCTTTAAAGAAATGCCAAGTAAAGAAATGACCCTGCCGCTTTCGAGGTCCTCCTATTCCATCGAGATTCTGGCCCCAAGAGTCTAGAGCTCCCTCCGTTTTCGTAAATTCACAACCCTCAACCCTTCGGGTGTAGGCTTTAGGATCCTACACCCAGTCACCAACTGGAAGGGAAGTCCAAGTCGCTAGCCCCTCAGCCCAAGGCCTCAGAAACCTGAGCCTCCATCCTCTCAGCCCCCAAGCCCTCAAATACCCTCAAGCCCAAGAAACCCGAAACCCTTGACCCTGAATTCATCCTAGGCCTCGAAGTTGAAAGCTCTTGGACCCAACCAAGGAAGCCCTAAACCATGAACCCTGCAACTCTTGATTCCACAAAAAGAACCTCTAAACAACTAAACCCACACTCGACCCCCTACAGGAACACTTCCAGTAACCCTTAGAGGAGTCCTCAGAAGGACCCTTCTCCTTACATACATCTATCCTTAACCCAAGACCCTTAAAGGAGCTCTGAAAGGAGCCCTCAAAGAACCAAGCCTGAATCCCTAAGGCCCAAAACCCCCCAAACCCCCAAAACCCGAGACCCTAAACCCAAAACCCCAAACCCCCAAAACCCTAAAACCCTAAGCCCCAACCGAAGACAGGGCCTCCTCCATGATCGCCGCCGGGAACTCGAGGAGGCGGTGGAAGCAGCGGGTGCCTCCAGCGATAAGGAGCCGCGGCAGAGATTTAATTCAAGGGCTTTATATAGGTACTAATACGTTTTTTTTTTTTTT